CTTTCTCTAATTAGCAAATATTTTATTTCAATATGCTGAGAAAAATTTATTTCCATATCATCACAAAATATCTTTAATGGCTTGCTAACTATACTAAATCTTGAGATAAAATTTTATGATTTATAATCTCAAAGCATATTATAAATTCAGCTTGATAATGCAATAAACGATTATTTTATACTTTTTTAGGAAATTTCTCCTCCAACTAATATGAATATGAATCCTGAAGTAGATTTTCAAATATTAAGATAATTTATAAAATTAATATCTGAATAACCCATTACTTCTAGTTGATTTGATCTCGTGAGTATATAGTTTTTTTTATGTACTATAGATATCTTATCATTTTCTTTACAACTTTTTAATGTTTTATCTTGGGTTGTTTTGGTAATTCCAATTGCAAAATTGATATATGAGCACGTATAAATTTAAGCATATAATATACTTCTAACGATGCATATTATTTGATTATTTTCTATATTATTCTTAAGATAATAGTTATGATTAAATTTTTTATCTTTAGTAATAGGTATATCATCAATAGAACAAAACTACATACTAAATCTCTTTAAAACTAGGTCACTATATCTTTTTTGAAATAATCATAGTAATTCTTGAGATATATCCACGAATATCTTAATGCTAATAATAAAAATCATCTTAAAATTTCTAATGAGAAACATCTTGGTTTCATACAATAAACCATGATCACTACTAATAAGAAAAATATTATTTATATATAAGACCAATATAATAAACTTATTCTCATTGATTTTTAGTTATATACACTAATAAATAATATTTTTTCTTAAATTAAAATAAAGTAATAATATTATAAAACTTTATATACTATTAAAAGTTTGTTTAAGGCCTTAAATAAATTTCTAAAGTTTGAAAGCCCAACTTTCCTTTCTCTTCTTTACAAATCGTTTAGATTGTTCAATGTAGATTTTCTCATCTAAATCCTGATTCAGAAATATTATTTTAATATCAAAATGATATAACTCAAGATCATAATAAGCTACTAATATCATAATAATCCTCAATGAGCCATTTTTAAAAATTAAAGAAAATGTATCATTATAGTCAATTCTTTCTTTTTGAGAAACATCTTTGGCAATAAATCTAGCTTTTTATTATTCGATATTACCCTTGTTAGGAATGAGTCGACACTAAGAGGGGGGGTGAATTAATGTAGCAGATAAAATTACGTCGGTTCAAAATTTTCGTTTCGATTAAACCCGTTTCGGAAAGATGTTAACTTAAAAGCATGCAGAAGCATAGTGAAAGTAAGAATTCAATTTGCAACAAGGTAAATATCAAGAAGTAAATGCAAACCAAATTTTGTAGTGGTTCGGTCGTCATGGCCTACATCCACTCTACCGATTCCTCTTCCATCGAGGCCACCAACATCCATTAATGATCTTCCTTCAATGGGCGAAGATCAACTACTCTTATATAACTCAATTCTCCTTTTGACAGATTCAGGAGAGAACCTTTACACCCCCTTTACTCATCTCTCAAATAACACTAACACTTTGAGCTTTGAGAGGAGTTCTCACAATATTATAATAACATTTTTTTTTCTTTTTTACTCTCAATTCTTGTGTATGTTAATCATGGATATGAGGGGTATTTATAGGCCTCGAGTGGATTTAAACTTGGAGCCTAAAAATATCTGATCCTGGGTCCTTCGGGTACCAGCAGTACCACCGCTTGTGCTGGGCGATACCACCGCTTGCAGCACTAACACTGATACTAACACTAGGTGGTACCACAACTCAGTCTGGCGGTACCACCACCTAGTATGGCAGTACCACCACCTAATAGTCTCTCGGAGACTGTGTCTGGGCGTACCACCACCCAGACTAGCAATACCGTCGCTTGATATAGTCTCGGAGACTGTGCCATGATGATTCCATCTATTGGGTCACTGTTTAGGCCTTTCACTTAGCCCAACATAGCCCAAACTTGGGCCCAATTGACCTCTAATTGAGTTGGCCCAATTTCAACTCAATTATGTGTTAACTATGAATTTTAAGATATTCACTAAGCTAAATAAGTCCGTAAGTATAGGTTTCTTCCGGCAAGCTTTTGATGAACTTCCGATGATCTCTCGGCAATGTTCCAACGGACTCCCGGCAAGCTCCTGGACTTCACGATGATCTTCTTGACGAGTTTTGATGAGCTTCTTTGGCAAGATCCTGGACTTCTCGGTCAATTCTGACTGAACATCCGACGAACGTCTAGACTTCCGATGAACTCTCGAACTCCCAACGAAATCTTGTTCTTGACTTTGGGACTTCATTTTGCTTTATGCCTTAATCGCTATCGTAGTTAATCCTATACACTTAAAGTCTATTTTGATCTAGATAATTATTACTAAGCTTGAATCAAATATTGTCCGGCATGTTATTGGTTCATCGACGCTTCGTCCGATTCTTCGGTGTATCGTTCTTTCTTGCGGCCTATTGCCCAATCGGCTAGTTGACCTCCGCAACTCCGATTTTCTTAGCGTAATTTTCACTCTTCTTAGCCTGATGCCCGAACCCATGGCCCAAAACCTTCTATCGATACATCGACCGATCCTTCAGCTCGACGTCCAATTTTCTGACATGTTTTTCTCTAGCACAACATGATTCTTCCTGCTTTAATTGTCTCTCCCTGATCGAAGCTTCCTATGTCACTCAAAACATAGATCAAATCATAAACACTATTAATTGGTTTTATCATCAAAATCCGAGATTCAACAATCTTCTCCTTTTTTATGATGACAATCAATTAATGACACAGTAACCTTAACTCTCCCTATCAATATGCCATATTGATAAAACCTTGAATTCAAGCTGAATTCAAGTCAAAGCAAATTTAATCATGAGTCCAAGCAACATAAAATCATGCATAATTAAAATTTCAATATATCATTCCATGCATGATAATTATAACTTCTCCTCCTTTGTTATCAATAAAAAGGAGAAGTACATTTAGCAAGTTTTAAATCATTGCATTATATAAACATAATCTCAAGTTTTATCATCATGCAAGCTAGCAATAATTTTGAGTTTTGTAAGTTTATAAATTTTGCTAGATGTGAAAGTTAGCATGTTTTGTATTTCTAGCAATTTTTTTCTCCATGCAATTTGCAAGCTTAGTAAA